CAATAGCAATTTTGGACAGGATGACAATAGCGACTATGATGAACAGGGAGACGATGCCGCACTTGCCTTCAACGTGAACCAGCTTTGCCTTCAACAACCAAAAGAACTATGTCAAAAATCAAGAGCATACAATTTTCAAAAATTTAAAGACATTGACCGTAATTGTATGAATCAGAGAGACCTGGATTTTGTTAGAGAACAAATGGAGGCAATTGAAAAGGAGCTCTTCCAGAGGAAAGCCATGGCCATGAAAAAAAGCCAAAAACGCACATTCCTTGGAGCAACAAATGGACAACAAGACATGGTATCGTTTTCCCTGAACACAGAAACTTGCAAGAAAAGTTACCAGGATACATACCATCGAAAGAAGAGGAGAAAAAGTGGAAAATAGCAACAAGTACAAATTTAATCCCTGTATTCACTAATTTTGAATCTTTGATACCTGCCCTTTCAGTGCCTTGCTGAATGTGAAAAGACGGGAACGCCAAATGCCACCAAAACCAGCAGAACCGGCAATGAAGCTTAAACTATCACGACACAGTTTCATTGGGTACTTCTGTGTGGAGTCAAATATCAAGCCATGAGTGCATGCTACTGCATGAGTATTCGTCCCATCCTTCACTTTAGGAACAAACACAACAAGCTCTTGTTCTGCCAAAGACTTCAAGCATTTGGTGACTCCCACCATCCCATCAAAGTGTTCCTTGGACTCCTTCACGGATAGTGGGGCCACTCCTTCAACAGAGACCTGCACCCAAGCTGAGAGCCATTTGAATTGAGCGGTTGCATCCAGTTCACTCAAGTCATGTGATTGTTGATATAGTTTCCATGACTCCTTGTGGAAGTTCAAGTAGTGCAGAGCATTTGCCAGAGAAAAACCAAGGCAACAATCGTTATTGCCTTGAACATAGGGAAGCATTTTCATCTGGTCCCCATTTTTGTGTAATTTGAGAAGACAGTGGTTCGGGGCAACATCCAAGTTGCTATCTCCCAGTGGAACAAAGAATGAGGGTTGATTAATACCCCTAGAAGAACACCTTTCTCCATAAGCAATGCATTTTTCAACAAATCCTTTACCAAGATAATGTTTGACATAGGCAACTGTCACATTTGAAACAAAAATCCTGCTCTTTGTTTGAGATCCTAACACAAGCCTGAATGTGGGCTCGGTTTTGTCTGCATTGGGTGGCTCATATCTGATCTTCCAAATTTCGGTAGTATCGCACTTTTGTGGGTTTGGCGCTTGAATGTTATGTTTTGTTAAGAATTCTGAAACATTGTGGTCTACTGGGCCATATTGATCCTTCAATGCCTGATTGTACTCGCTTCTAGCCTTTTCAGTTCGATTCTGGAACTGCCTAGCTGATTCTCGACGTCCTTTGGGTTGCAACAATTTCTTGTCAAAAGTACCAAGAACTTCATCAAACTTTTCTCTAACCTCTTCAGACTCGTCAACTGCAAGGATAGCTTGCAGCTCCTTCTTCATTCTCAGCTGTGTTGCCCAACTTTGCTGACCCTCCTGATTGTCTGGTCTTCTTGTTCTCTTTGGTGAAGACGGCTTCCAATAGTCATAAGTTGACTCTTTGGATTCAGTGGATGGAGCTTGTGGGGGCAGTTTCGCTGCAGCAGAAGTGGAAGGTGGTGGTTGTGGTGGTGGCGGTTTGGCGGCAACAGCTGTAGATGGCTCCCCATAGTCCAATGTTGACTCTTTGGATTCAGTGGATGGAGCTTGTGGGGGCCTTTTCGCTTCAGCAGAAGTGGAAGGTTGTGTTGGTGGTGCTGGCACTTTGGCGGCAACAGCTGTTCTTCTTCTCTTTGGCGAAGATGGCTTCCAATAGTCCAAAGTGGAAGAAGCTTGTGGGGGGGGCTTTTTTCCAGCAACAGAAGGGGAAGCTCTTGCAGGCCTTTTTGCAGCGTCAGAAGTGGAAGCTGAAGCTCTTGCCAAAGCAGTGGAAGGTTGTGTGGCTTCTTCAGACTCCTCTAGTAATCCAGCTCTTGCAGGCCTTTTTGCAGCATCAGAAGTGGAAGTTGAAGCTCGTGCCGAAGCAGTGGAAGGTTGGGCGGCTGCTTCTTCAGACCCCTCTAGTAATCCATTCAAGAAGCAAACATGGGGAGGCACGCCATTGAAGACAGTGCAAGCAACATGTCCAAAAATCAGCCAGTTCTCATCATAGTGACGTTTGCGTACAAATTTGTCGGCATCATGATGGGCCGTCAGCCTGCTCCTATACCAGGCATCCAAGGGTTCTATTTGGGGACTTTTCTTCTTTTGTTTTGATCGGGATTGTGTGTTCAATCTTGGTCTAGTAGATACCAAATTCAAATTGACCTTCCCTTCCTTCTTGATTTGTCGCAGAGCAGTAGCATTCCTGTTGGTGAAATGGGATCTTGATAGATAAAAGAACAGTCGAACATGTCGGACAGTGAAGTCGGACTTTGATGATATCGAACACGGACAGAAGTACGGTTCGAGTACGTACAGAGATGGATAAGTATTGAAGGTAGATCTACTCTGTGACTAGTTCGTGAAGAACATGTGTGTATGTGCTTCATACGCCGCGACAGCTGGTGAGAGCTGACGCAGATGGCTTCCGGAAGAGATTTTTTGTACCTGCTTGTGGGGATCATTGTTGATCGACTTCTGGCAAGAATAGCAGTAGAATAAGATCTAATAGGAAGTGGTGAGACTGTTCATCCGCAGGTTGAAGCCCAGCATCACTGGCACCTGTTCCTATTGTAGGCAATCCATAGCCGACATAGATTCGAGCTCAGTATACTCCAGAGGTAGCTAGACCGTTGAGGCTCTCATCACAGCTACGGAGTTGATAATCTGACAGTCGATCAACAAAGGTAATTTTCGAACATTGCAAAGTAGGAGGGACTACAGAGCAAGATGCCTGGTAGAAGAAACCAAGGCAGAGGCGGTCGAGGTGGCCGTGGAGGAAGATCTGCGCAGCAGACTGGTCGAGGGTCTCATGGCAAGAAGGCCGACAGACCGAAGCAATACCATCCTCACAATCCTGACTTCACTCACGAGCAGGTAACAATATATTTGCTTGAGGCCATCGCGCTCAAGAGCTTGGACTACGCTCAAGATATGATCTGGAGTATGAGAAATATGGCCCATGTGGACTTTGAGGCTTTAAGAGGCACTCAAACGGTCTACAAGCCGGGAAAGAACGACTCCGAGTTCTTCAAAAGTTCGAGACAGGCTCAACTTGATAGGAACTGGGAAAACCTAAATGTCAAGATTGACAAAAGAGAAGTGATCTACACCACGAACCAATATACCGTGGCTGCGATCATCACCAAGCATTTCATCACTCAAGCGATGAGAGATAAGTTAAGCAATGAAAGTGATTGGTTGGACCTCAAGGAAGACCATGTGATGCTTCTGAAGCGTATCAAGACGTTCATGACCATCACAGACAAGACCGAGTGGCAACACTTTGGACTCATGGAATCTCTCAAGAGATTCATGAACTGCACTCAGAAGCAAAATGAGTCTGTGAACGATTACAGAAGGCGGTTCGAAGCTCAAGCTGACCAAGTATTCGAAATCCTTGGTACAGATGTGTTGCATGTCTATGCGACCAAAACAATGGGATACCTGGATCTGGACGATAAGTTTCTACAGCATCCTTGATCATAATATCGTATAATGACATCTCTCTTGTGATTAGATTATGAGCCAAGACGCAACAAGCCTCGAAAGCTGAAGCAAATCTATCTCCGTTGTGTCGAAATTGTGTCTCCAAGATCTTGTTTTGCTTCAACAGACTGTAGAAATTATCGTGTCTCTTGAGAGCTTGACTCTTGAAGGGCCTGACACCCGCATTGTTGTGTGTGTTGTAGGTGCTCGTGTGCTTTGGCTCTCTGTTGTAGCCTGGATCTCCAAGTCTTGATCCCCAAGGGCAGTTCCACAATCTTTCTCTCTTACCCAATAGTTGGAGTAGTCGAACTGGGATGTCAGCTCATCTGCAGATAGGTACTTTTGTAGATAGTACAGTTGTCCAATCAAGAAATATCAGGGTCAAGTACTCCTCCCTTGATCCTTGCGCCTGCAATGTTGGTGATTTGCGTGTCGGTGTACACCCAAACTGCAGTGCAGGGAGAAACTCTGAAGTGGTGTTTGAAACTTGGCACGCTTGATTCACCAATCGCTGTAGCCCTTCAGAGCAAGGCCAGAAACCGATCAAAGAAATCAAAACAGATCAAGCAAAACCGATCAAAGAAAGCGAAACAAGTCACTGCAACACAAAACCGATCAAATGATTTTGAAACCGATCAAAGAAATCGAAACAAGTCACTGCGACACGAAACCGATCAAAAAGAATATTTTGCAACAGCAATGCCCCGGCCCAGGGGTGTATTGAAAACCACTTAGTAGTCAAAGAGTTGATAGACGAGGGTCCTGGCTTGATGATATGGCCATGAGCAATATTTTGAATATGTTTGAATGACACTATTTAAAATGATCTATGGGTACAGGAACCACATAATCAATTAATGATCTATAGTATCACCACAAGAGCAAAATTTTGGATCATGAGATGTAGGTATCAGGTGTCATCTGACATCTACCGGTACATCTCTCTACATACGGTACCTGGACTCCCCGCAACTTGTCTGTCTATCCACCAATTTTTGTGCGTCGGACGAGATTACTGCGCACGGGTCTTTCCCCCCCATCAGCAGGGAACCCCTCATAAATTGAAATGACTTTTTGAAACCGGTCAAAGAAATCAAAACAAGTCACTGCGACACAAAACCGGTCAAGCTATTTTGAAACTAATCAAAGAAATCGAAACAAGTCACTGTGACACGAAACCGGTCAAGCTATTTTGAAACCGATCAAAGAAATCAAAACAAGTCACTGCGACACAAAACCGGTCAATCAAGCTATTTTGAAATCGAAACACGTCAAGAAAATGAGTCACGAGATAAATTGAAAATCATGTCAATCCAAGTCACAGTACAGTAGGATTGAACCTACGTTATGGACCATTGCAAACCTCACAAATACGAGCTTCAGACCTTGAAAAATGGAAAGGTAGAAAACCTTTGACCAAGGAAAGGTGCCATAGCTGAGATCCTGACGAGATTCACCAAGCCCAAACAGCCAAATCCGCTGGGTGGCAAACATTGCAGCATGGCAGTTCTTGAAGAAGAGGATAAAGACAACAGTCACAATAATGAGGATGAAGACAAACTACCTCAATATGCTGAACCAAGAGATGAAGAGGGTAAACATGACTACTAGAATGAGATGCAAAGTAAATACAATTAGGGGCCCTACTCAAGATGGTTTATATTTATCCCCTTCATAAGTTTCTACAGCATCCTCGATCATAATATCGTATAATGACATCTCTCTTGTGATTAGATTATGAGCCAAGACGCAACAAGCCTCAAAAGCTGAAGCAAATCTATCTCCGTTGTGTTGAAATTGTGTCTTCAAGATCTTGTTTTGCCAGTCATGTGTATTGCAGGTGCTCATGTGCTTTGGCTCTCTTGATCTCCGATGGTAGTTCCACAATGATTCTTTCTTACACAATAGTCATTTGGAGTAGTCAAACTGGGACGACGTCAGCTCATCTTTGTTGGGTACTTTCGTAGATAGTACAGTCGTCCAATCAAGAGATGTTAGGGTCAATTACTCCTCCTTTGATCCTTGCGCCTGCAATGTTGGAATTTGCATGTTGGCGTGCACCCAAACTGCAGTGCAGGGAGAAACTCTGAAGTGGTGTTGGAAACGGAAGACATTTGTCTTCCCCCTTGGCACGCTTGATTCACCTTTTGCTGTAGCCCTTCAGAGCAAGGCCAGGTTCCATCATCTCCAATGGAGTGACAAGATGGTTGATGGGCGGCTCGTCCATGAAAGAGATTTATTTGATGATAATATGTGGAGATGTATGGCTCCATCCAAGTATGATGTGGCTCTCGTACATCAGTTTCTGATTTTAAAAAATGATGTCACAATTTGAAACCAATCAAAGAAATCGAAACAAACGAAACTGATCAAGCGAAACCGATCAAAGAAATCAAAACAAGTCACTGCGACACGAAACCGGTCAAGCTATTTTGAAAGCGGTCAAAGAAATTGAAACAAGTCACTGCAACACGAAACCGGTCAAGCTATTTTGAAACCAATCAAAGAAATCGAAACAAGTCACTGCGACACAAAACCGGTCAAAACAATGTTATTTCCGCTGCAATGCCCCAGCCCAGGGGTGTATTTAAAAACTATTTAGTAGTCAAAGAAGTCGGACTTGCTAAATCCAGAAACGGTCGGGCAACAGACGAGTTGCGGCGGGTCCTGGTACATTACAATTAGTCAATCAATCCTGCAAATATGGTATGTACGACATCCGTCGCAAGTGAAACAGATCCAGCAGATAAGACTCTCCCAAATGTTGCCAGCCGGCCGCACGCCTACCGTGTCTGCAGAGAGCCCAAACTTCAACGACAAACAACCAGCTGGCTTGCTTGCTTCCAAAACACACAGAAACAGCAAAGACACAACATCTTCACCGACAACAACAAAAACATCACCACAGGAACAGCATCCTTTTTGTCAACAAATCGATCTTTTCCCTCTCCTTCTGCCGGTGGTAGGCCAGGAGCAATCCATATTCCTCAGAGACAGGTTCCTGCATCCGCTTCTGCACTCTGAAGTTTTTCCATCTGCCTGTCTACTTTCATTGCGCAAAGAGATTGTCAGTGTGTACCATAAAAGCCCCATTGTGTTGTGCCAAGTCCTTGCTTTTATAAGGTTGGAGACTTGGTGCAGTGAAGTAATTAAGATGTCTGGACGGTCTACAGGTAGGAATGCTACTGCTATGCGACAAATCAAGAAGGAAGGGAAGGTCTATGTTGTGAACCCTTGAGTCTGTTGCAAAATACAAAGGTGTAGAGTTGGTCATTCGCATTTGGGTATACTCCCGGTCCCAACTTTTGATATCCATATATGCTGACATATTGGAGGCAGAGGTCTTCATGTCATTTTGTGGCTGTGCTGACATGCCACTGTGCTTCGCTGCATAGTTCATGCCCTCAGTAGCATTGGTAGTGTACTTGTGTAAGCACCGAATTTTGTTCTTGCAATGAAAGGCAAACTGCTGGTCATTGAGTGTAACAATGTGATTAAGGATCCATCCTACACATTTTTCTGCAGCCTTGTCTCCAACAAATTGCCTGAGTACAGAGTTTGTTTGAAGTTCTTGTAGCAGGAGAGCCTCGGACAATTCATACTCCTTCTTACTGTGGCAGGAAGTCCCGTCAATCCAAGATCTAACCCATCTCCGGATCTCCAGTAGAATGGCTTGTCCATTAGATTGGTTTTTCACCTCACTGTCTTTTGGGCCATGTTTCAAGAATGTTTTTTCTATGAGGTGGTGCCCACATCTGCCCCAAATCGCATTCTTCACATAACAAAAGATGGATTGATCAACAGCATTATACTCAGTTGCATCTCCGTCTGTCAATATAAGATGCACTCGTTTTAGATTTCTAACACCAAGCATAGCTGGTAGTGCCTGTAAGAATATCCATCGGTAGAAAGCTTGTGACTCGTTTGGCATGAAAACATGGATGACCACAAAAGCCTTGCCGGCACTATCCCTCCCGCAAATAAGCAGAAGGGGGCGTCCTTCATTATTGGTCTTGTGAGTGGCATCAATGAACAATACTTCCGGGAAGCGAAGAAACTGACGGTAGTTATTCTCATCCATCCATGCCGCACCAAGCATAACTCTGTTACCGGAGAGAAGGATAGTGTGTTGAAGGGTCTTCATATGCTCCTCTGCCTCTGTTACCAATTGATGCATCGGAGCTACTGTCTTTAGGCCTGCTTCCACCTCCACTGACCTGGCAAACACATTTTTTTCTTTTCCCTCTATTGACACATCGGAAATGGAGTACAAGCCTCTTGGTGGAGGCTTGGTTGTGGCTGGTGTCTTCAATCCTGGTGTCTTCTGGGGACAAATGGCCTCAGTTGCATTTTTCATAGTATCCCCTGTCATCTGGGGACAAATGGCCCCGGATGCATTTTTTGTAGTATCCCCCATACCACCAGGCATTGCTTTGGCTCTCACAAACTTAGAGCACACTGCTTTCATAGCTTTTGCTTCTATGGCCTCCCGCTGGTTGTGAATGAACTCAGTGGGTGTCAACCCTAACCCTAACTGGCGCCAATGCCGGTGCAAATCCATAGTCAAAGGAGTCGGTCTATAACAAGGTCTACAGTCATTCCGCCGTCGGAGCCATCCAATATTGCATCGAGCTATCAAGGCAGACGTGCGGCTGGCTGGGATACCCCGCAATTTGTTGTAAAACCAGATTTTTCTCGTTTTTTAAGAGTCCATGTGGTCATTTTCACCCTCTTCTGCACGAAACTCCAATTAAAGGCTTTACTTAGGAAAAATCTGTGATTGCCTTCTACGACTTCTAATGTTTAACATTCACAAAACTCGTTAAGTAGACGAAATAAATCGGTTTGACTTTTCGACTTTGTATTATTTTGTTGTGGTCATCATTTACAGCAATTTGATATTCCGAAATTGCTGTAAATGATGACCACAACAAAATCATTGGAGTCGCCAGCAGTACATGCGCGCGATTTAACTGTTTTTTTTTCAAATTAAAAAACTTCTCGAAATTGAATTTGAGCTTCTTTCTTGCAGTATGCATTCTTTGCCATCCAACATCACTTTGATTGCTACGTGCGGTGCCAGAAGACATCGGGATGGTTGAAAATGTAGTGACACCGGAACAGGCATGAGAGTTTGAATGGTCGACTGAAGGATTACAGAATCCTCTTCGATACATACCATCACGATCCTGATAATCATGTCTATGCTTTTGAAGCGGTGGCTGTTCTTGTCCAGTATGCGATGGACCATGGGCATCCTATCTTTGAAGCAAATACTGTACCACCAGAGTGAATAAACTAGATGTCCTACTGTTAGGTTATAGACTAGTACGCTGTAGCTATCTATTTTGGACAAGTTTAAAAAATCGCTACGCCTCACTTTCTCGTGCCTCCAATTTGTAATAACGTTTTCTTAACAGCAACAAGCAGTCCTTCCTTTGTTGTAGTCATCATTTACAGCAATTTCGGAACATCTGTAAATGACTACAGCAAATTTACAGCAAATTTACAGCAAATTTACAGCAAAGTCTTTCTACGATTAGCTCTCACTTATGGAACACCATAAGTGTATTTCTGAGAAAGAAGTAATATCAAAGTCTTTGTAGTCATCATTTACAGCAATTTCGGAACATCTGTAAATGACTACAGCAAATTTACAGCAAATTTACAGCAAATTTACAGCAAAATTGTCGCAAGCGCACTTTCCTGTATAACCGTTTACCCTGGCCGCTTGAACTTGTGTAGCGACATACTGGCCTGGAATGCGCGCACGCAAGCCCTTCTTTGATGTAAATTTGTTGTGGTCATCATTTACAGCAATTTCGGAACATCTGTAATGACTACAGCAAATCTACAGCAAATCTACAGCAAATCTACAGCAAATCTACAGCAAAATTATGTTTATAAGAAGATATTTTTAATATAGGTCCGAATATCAAAACACCACCAGGACGTGAAGACATTAAATAACGATTCAGTTCTTTTTAAAAAAAACAGATTTTTGGCTCGTTACCCCTGCAGAAAGAGTGAGAAAATCGTTCTGTCGCGCATGCGTGCCCAGATTCACAGCAAATTGCGGCATATCCCTGGCAACATTTGGGAGAGTCTTATCTGCTGGTTATTGTCACTGGACGCAAGTTCGAGGATTACAACAAAGCATCACTTTAGTTCGTACTCTTCACTGTGTCTTAGCTTTCAAATAGGCACAAAAGTCATCGATCTCATTGAATAATGGAAGATACTACTGCAAAGAGCAACATAAGCAATGAAGACGATGACCAGTCGATGCAACCTCCTTCAGCAATGCTGTCTCTCCTGGACAAGTATTCCAGGATGGAGGCCCAAATGACACATGTGCGTCAAGAGACCACGCGAATTCAGTTAGAGATTCAGGCACGAAATTCTAGTGCTGAAAAGCTTGCGGAAGAACGCCAAGGGATGATTGTGGAGCAAGAACGTTTCTCCAAAGAAACAAAAATCCTCCAAGAAGACGCCAAGATAGCTCGTCAAAAGCTAAATTCAACCCAACAAGAGGCACTGCAAGCAAAAGAAAGGAAGGAAGAAGCGCGGCGAAACTTGGACAGACTAGAAATGCAATCGAAAGAATATCGACGACGGTTCTTCTATTCCTCACAATCCTTTCGGAACGAGTGCAAGAAACGCAAAGTTACCTGTCAAGCATTGGGATTGACCCGTGCACCTTTGGTTGCTCATGCGATGGTATTTCAGCCTCAATTGTTTTCCTCTTTTCATAATATCAATAATCGAGACGAAACCCAGAGCGAGATCCAAGATGGGGAGCACAGTTGTCTAATTAAACAACTGAAGGCGTAGGAAGCATCCAAACAGCGACGGGAACAACTCAAAAAACAGAAGGACGACCTTTTGAGCCGATCAAGGGATCGACGTCAACGAAAAACTAGTCTTGAAGCACAGCTGGGTCGTATTTTGAAGGATATTGACATGCTCAATAGTCGAATCCAAGGCGAGAAGCGACCTACTACTATTTCCACTCAGGCCACAACAAATTCGAATTCCACTTTTGTACTTCCAGCAGCACGTGAGTTGTACAACCTTTAGATTGAATGATCGATTTTACTTTCCACATCTAACCAATCACGTCTCGTTCTTTTTGGAAGGAACTACTGCAGGTGGTGCCAGTAAGATACTTTTGAACAATCCGTACGCAAAATGCAATCGAAAGCAATCACCGCCATCATCGTTGTCAAGTACTAAAGCAATGAATCCACGGCGAAAATCGAGTCCCAAAGGCTCTGACGCTACCATAGAACAATATCCTCATATAGTGGGGCGTCAACGAGCTCCTCGGGGTTTTGGACTGTCTCTGCGCATTGAAGATGGCATTGATGATTCGGATGATGACGATGATGATGATTTACTATCGTTTGTTGGCTTTCGCAAGTAACACAGGTATAGCATCGTGAATTTTGGAAAACCTGAATTTTTTGGGATTAATTTTCTTGATTCTCAACTCCTCGTTTGATTCACGGGCGTCGATTGTCACAATGTGCAAACTAGACAACTAGAAAATTTCCGCAATTCTCAATGTTGAGTCAAGATGATATCCACCAACCCAAGCTTGACAACCCGATACAACATTCCAATCGTAGAAAGCGTGTCTATTGCTCTTCACACATGTCACACATAAGTTCAAACACAACTGAAGTAACAGAGAGTGAGGGAGTACTATTGAATAGGAAATTCAATGGATACACACATAGTCGTCAGGAACGGCCGGGAACTGTGGTCCGATTAGTCATTTCACACGCAATAGCAACTTTACAAAGGGAATCTTGCAGGCGTAATCTTGAAAAATCAATGCAGCAACCAGCTCATCCGTGTCCACAAACAGTCAGTCAAAATAGCACGACTCGGCTGTGGGGAGGGTGGGAGAGGACAAATGAAAAAAGCATGCCCGTCCTCTTTAAAATCATTCCCCATTTTTTCTGTTTGCAGACCACTTTTCCATATTTAAATAGAAATGACTCTGTGTATAAATGCGGTGGGTCTATTCGATGATTGGACGGCATGCTGCATGTCAAATGGACAGAGCTTGACTGGCTTGTGGTCAATTTGACCATGGCTCTACTGGCTCGTGGTCAATTTGACCATGGCCCGATTGGCTTGTGGTCAATTTGACCACGGCTATACAGGCTCGTGGTCAAATTGACCATCCAATCAAATCATCCCAATTGAAAGTGGTAGTTTTTTGAAAATTCTCACACGATGCACTGTAGTAGGTGGTACAGGACAATACGTAACGGCACACGTGGACAGACATACCTCTTGTGCACCCATCAACCCCAAAACCGAGCACCGAACACCTATCACAAGTGGTTTGAAGCAACTGCCATCAATCACCAACCACTTGCGATGAAAGTTTTCCTCATCTCTTCTTCTGCTGGAACAACAAAGTTCGGTCACACTGTGGTCCATCAACGATGTTTCCTGACAATCAAATGTTCCAACAACAGAAGAAGTGATTGAAATGATTGATGATGAAGTATCGTCCATTGGTGTAATGTACCCAATGCCATTGTCTTTTATCATCTTGCTGTTGCTTCCAAAGTTCCATTGCTTCCGAAGATTTCCAGTCAAATCCGTCAACTGGCAAATCCGACTGAAACGATGAATCGGCATCTATGGGCCCCAGGAAGAAACCAAATACAATGGCAAGCTTCATTTTATATAGAATACATTCACAGCTGCGATTGGTGATTTATTCTATACCTTTATCATTCCACAACCAACCAATGTTGATCAAGTTGCCTCTGGTTTGCCATCTTTCAGGAGGAGGTTCCCATGGCCGCCATACTATCGGGGCACAACCACTCAACAATACACCAATCGCTTCTTTCAATCCTTACGCCTTGAGCAGTATGTGATTTAGTCATGGATTCCGCCTAGACCCTGCATACATTGGCCTAATTGGTGGGGTCAAAACAATGGTAAGTTCTGCTTCAAAACTGGTATTGGACAAACTGTGGGCCTAATTTCTCAAGCTTCTTTATTCTAACGCATATTTGTTGTGCATGGGTATGAATATCATGATTGGGGGGTTGGAATGGGGGGTTTCTGGGTAGAAGTGATTGAACTATAGGTACTTGGTGTTGATAATAAATTCAGCATAGATTTGGAGAACCTTTACATTTTGTCATGTCGTCACCCAGACAAGGGCGGGCCTTCACCAAAGTTTTCGATGTACCAGCAGTTATCAATATTTGGCAATGGTTTGAATTGCTGCAATGGGAAAAGAAATGTTTGGCTCCTTTTTTCAACTCTTTGCAACAATTCAAGTGATTTGGAGGGATTTCCTTCAATCTGATTGGTTCTACCAAAAGTTCTTTGCCAAACTTTGCAATTCACAGTATATAGAGATCTAGTACAGATTATTACCTAATAGTGGTGTAGGTCACAATAGCACGGTTTGTGATCACAATAAGGTCGTATTATACAAGATAGCATCTTTTGTCTTGTGGTTTTGATAAAAGTCGAAGAAGTCAATACTTCGCGTATATTTTGTTTTTCCGTTGCCACGACAATCACACGAGATGATTGGATGGTCAATTTGACCATCCAATCATGTTGTGTGGAGCCTTTGGACATTGTGATTAGATGGTCAATTTGACCATCCAATCATATTCTCTGCAGCATTCTGATCTTATGATTGGATGGTCAAATTGACCATCCAATCATATTGTCTAACTTTGTCAGATTATGATTGGATGGTCAAATTGACCATCCAATCATCTTGTCTCAAGTTTTCCAAGTAAATGATTGGATGGTCAAATTGACCATCCAATCAAAATGTCTCACTTTATCAAATTATGATTGGATGGTCAATTTGACCATCCAATCATAATGTCTAACTTTGCCAAAGTGGGAGACGCTCTGCGTCACCCACCCCGCAACCTGGATGCTTGACACTCACCCCAATCTACGCCCCCAAATCCCCCATTTTCAAAACCGGCTGGTGTTAGACCTTGGCCAGCGCATTGTAGCTTTGGCCTGCCCGCCTTGTTTACTTTTTACTACGGTTCAATTTCACCCGTCCTCACTTTTCGGTCCACCACAATGGCAATGGATCTTCAACCGCTTCATGCTCTTTGCAATGAACACTGTAACTGGGAAGTTCGCTCGATTATTCTTCAACTCTCTGAAACACTGCAACAGACCGAGCAAGAATCCATCAACCTTGTGTCCAAGGTCAAGAGTCATGTCATTGTCCCTTCAGAAAGATTTCAACCTGCAGAGGATAAGGTATGCCAATTGTCTTTCTCCCATTCATTCTCTCATTGATTCTCAATTGATTCTCACTTCTCCAAACACTGGGAAGGGCCATATCCTCTGGTTTCCATCAACATTGACCATTGCCAATGGCAGGTCATCCATCAATTACCACTTGAATGATGCCAATGGCAGCTCATCCATCAAGAAGCTTTTGAACCATGCCCTCCAACAGTGTTCATGTTCAGATCCAGTTAAGGAAAAACAAAACCAAGAACAATACACGGTTCACATTTTCCTTTCCATGCGCCAAAAGAGCAAGAGTAAAGGATGCACCACTGGTGAGTGCTGTTAGAATAAAGCAAAATGTGCTCTATCGTGAGTGCCGTTAGCGCTCAGAACAAACTCTCTGCAATCTAAATTCGTAATCGATTGTACAACACTTTCACGACAATAGTTCTCCTGTGTCTAGGTATACTTTGAGTGAAATTGTTCCTATTTGATTAATGTTTGGC